AAACATGTACTATAGAAGAAAATTTCACAGAACCAAATATATAGTAGAAGTAGTAGAATAATGATGACATTGGTAATTAAAATGCTATATTGAAATACTAAATGTGGGTATCTTTGTTTCAGTAACTAAGAAAGAAATTATAAACTGACATGAATCATATGCTATATACTTAAAATAAAACTGAGTGAATAAGTTTCCAATGAGTATGGAATTGTAAACTTTTATTTCAATACAGAAGACGTATAGAAACCATTAAATGAAATAGGGGTATTTCACTTCGATGAACTAAGTTTTAAGTTAGTAACAGGGATAATTGGATGGTAAAAAATTTACACTTTGATTTTTACGGACCAACGGAAATACAAAGGGAGATTGCATTTCTTTTCTTGTTGACCAAAAAGGGAGGTTGCATTTAACCATTAAAATTACTTATCACACCTTTTCATAACCGGTTCAAAATCTAACACATATCAATTACTCATCACAAAATCTACCCTCCGAAAGGTATAAAAGGTGGGATAGGATGAAAGAGGACAGAACACTATATAAATCATGCGGAAGAATGGTTATGATATTCATGAAGAACAACTTATAGCTCTATGAATCCAAGAAGTTAATAACTAAATCCCGGTTATGGTGTAGTGTATATAAGGTCAAGATCATTTTACACCAGTGTATGTTACACTCTCAATCTTGTCTGTTGATCCCACTTATATTTAAGAGCTCAAATTTTGTAATAATGTCAGTCATTGGAACAAGTGGATCAATGATCAAGATTGAGTGTAAGACTTCTAACTCTTACACCGGGGTAAGAATATCTTATCCTATGTAAGACTTCTAACTCTTACACCGGTGTAAGAATATCCTCCCCTATATATATATATATATAGGGGAGGGTTCTTTTGACTTCAATCAATGGCTAGGATGGGGAATAAGACTTATAAGTCTTACTCTGGTTACTCTGGAGTCAAAAGATCTCCATATATATATATATATATATATATATATATATATATATATATATATATATATGTATTGGTAAATAAAAATTATATTTAATTCCTAACAAATTAGGATGTAAAAATTAAATAAAAATGTATTTAAACATGATAAAATGTAGTTTATTTTTTAAATAGATTTGGTTCCTATATAAACATTAACATATAATAAATAAATAAAATAAGAAGAATAAAATTAAGATTTAAAAAGATAAATATAAACATAATAAATTTATATTATTTTGCAGATTCTCAGAAGACAATATGTAATTTATTTATGGAAAAAATGTTTCTGCATTTATTTTCAAAACGACGTCGTTTTGGTATTGAAATCTTAAAAAATTATAAATATAAAGACTATTATAACCTTGAAATAAATTAAAATTATAAAATACCATGATTTCCGCTCCAAAACGACATCGTATTGGGCTTTCTGCAGATAACTTATCTGCGATAACTGCAGAAAAAGCGAACCCTTTATTTATTTTTAAAACAGAATGCCAAAAATTCAAAAGACAATGTATTATTGATTGTACAATATATATTTTTTTTAATTTTGAAAATTTTACGAATGGTGTGTTAACACTGATTGTACAATGTATTATTTATTAACACTGGTAATAGCAGTGTTAATAAAATCAGATCGACTCGGGATCTGGTAAACGAGTCATATAACCAGTACGGTTGAAGCAACGGACCGACCATGCATCAGAACCATTGTGACCTGGTCTGACCCAATCGGTTTTCATGAAAATCGGTGACCCGATGACCCGGCCCGATCAAAAAAAAAATCAAAATTTTTTTTTCAAAAAACTCATAATGGGCATATTTGCATATTTTTTGATTATTGACTTACATAAGTTATATACCTATAACACTAATATTATCTCAATTATGCAATTGCAGAAAATTTTGATTTGACTTATAGTTAGAGATATCGTTTTCTGAACCTAAAGCCCCGTATCACGATCATTATATTTTTGTTTGATCTTTTATTGTATAATAATATGTGATTTATTATTTTTTATATTAAAATATTTGAAAATTTTATCATTTTCTTTTAGATATTTGAGTATGTTTAAAATTTTTTAATATAAATTATAAAATTGTATATATTTATCGGGTCATGCGGTTGAACGAGTAACCCAGTGATCTAATACCTCGATCGGATTAATGACCAGGCCAATTTTAATAACATTGATTAATAGTACATGATAAAAAATAGTCTAGGCCTGGGGAAAGGGAAAAGGGGAGAAGATATAGATTCATTGAGAGAAAAGGATCACCTATTGTATTAATAAAATAAGGAGAGGTTAATAAAATAGGGAGAGGATATAGTTACTACTTTTTTTTCTTATTATTTGTTACTATCAAATTTTAACCGTTGATTTTCGTTAATCTAACGGTTATAATTTATTAAAATTAATATTTAATTAATATGTGTAACCTAAAAAATTATAATCGTTAGATTGATGAAAATCAACGGTTAAGATTTGGTAATAACAAGTAATAAAAAAGTAATAACTATAACCTTTTTCAATAAAATGATAATTGAAAGGAAAAAAAATAAAAATAAAAAACACAACCCTCACTGAAGAATTCTTTTTTTCAAAGTTATAAAAATCGGACTGACTCGGCGGGGTCAACCCGAAAACCGGTGAACCGGTCATGTAACCGATCCAGTTCATATTAGATCGGCCATGTTACAGAACCGGTGTGAGACGGTGTGACCCAGCCGATTTTCGTAAAAACTAGTGACCTGGTCGGTTCAACCGGTGACCCGGCCTAGTCTATATATATTTTCATAAATTAATGTCTTCTTTTTTTTACTCTCAAACACAAATGTTTTGTTTTCTCTTAAAAATTTTAAGTGATTTATAGCTTATTAACTTACATAGATTATGTACCTACAACACTAATATTATCTTGATTATGTAATATGCAAGGAATTTTGATTTGATTTATAATTAAAAATATCGTTTACTGAACCTGAAAAACTAGTATCACAAATATTATGTTTGATTGATCTTTTCTTGGACAATGATGTGTAATTTATTATTTTCATATTAAAATATTTGAAATTGGTATATTTTTTACAAGTATTTAAGTATATTTATAGTTTTTTTAATATAAATTATAGATTTACATATACTTATCGAGTCATGCAGTTGAACCAGTGACCCACTGATTGAACCAATGACCCAATTACCCAGTACCTCGACCGGATCAATAACCGGGCCGAATTTAATAACATTACTTTTTCTATTAATTCATTTAAACCCTAAGCCAATTAAACCCACAACACAAAACCCTCTTTGTTCCGTAATTCGAGAAAACGACACACAGAGATTCACGCACAAAGAGACAAAAAAAGACAAACTTCGCAGGTTCCATTCTCTCTCTCACTATTTCTTTATTACTGTTCTTTATTTTATTATATTTTTCTTGCGCCGCAATTTGGGGTTTCTTGTTCTTTACAAACCCTAATATCAATTCAATCAATTTTAATGTCGATTTTTTCTTTTGGCCACGCAATTGATTACTGATGGTCAATGCGAACGAATTGAAGTGTGAATTGAGTCTTTCTATTAATCTAATTTTGTTGTTAATTAAAAAAAAATTCAAATTATTAACCCGATTAAGCGATTTTTTTCTGCTTTGAATCAAAGAAAGTGAAGCTTTGCAGATAAAGAAGGCGATTGGATGTTGATGGAGTGTAAATGGTGTCAAGAATTGTAAAGATTCTATTTTTTTTTAATTCTTTTAGTTGACTAGCTGAGCATAAAGAAAAGGAGAAAGTTGTTAATTTAATACCCCATTTGAATTATTTATTACTCTATAGTTTATTAATTGGACATTCTAAATCTGGGGTTGCTTTAATTTATTATTTTTTGAAGTTCACGTGTTTTCAAAGAACTTTTTTTAATATTTTTTAAATTTATGTTGAAACATATGGTATTAAATAGCTAAGATTGCAACTGGGGTGGTTTTTTTTTTCAGTGGTGAAATTTGAATAGTAGCTCTGCTATTCTGGATAGCTAGGTTAACATTATTAGAGCTTGTGACATTGGTCACATTGAGTATGAATAACGCTGAACAGGGGAAGGATTTATACATGGTTTATAAAAGGTTTTAGACTTAAATTTCTTTGCTGGTGATGTACAAAACTACGATACAGAGTATTTAAAAAAAAAAAAACACACACACACACACAGAACTTTATAATTTCGAGTGTAGACATATGTATTATTTAAACAAAGGGGGTGGGGGATTCACTGAAACCCTTTCATAAGTTGCATAAAAGTTTATTAGTATTATCTCTTATGGAGATACCATGATAAAAAAAAAAAAGCTAGTGTTACTTTGATACTTAATTGATTATGATACGTGAATACAAGCTCTGTTGATAGGGCCCCTTCCTTTCTTTCTACTTATATGGTAAAGCTACTTACCATATGGAAGAAGAGTTTGGAACTAAGGAGAACAATTTTCTTCTGTAAATGCTAATGATATTTTTTCAATATCTTCCAAGTAGGGAAGCTGTCCAAGATTACGTACTTGAATGATGCAATTTAGATTAGTCTTAGATCTTTGTCACGACCTTTTCTTTTTGAAATTTTGAATTTTGATGACCCAATTTTGTTTTATTTGGTTGTGATGCCATTTTAAGATGGATGGCTTCTTCGTTATATTATGATTCTTAAACTATTTCTAATTGTTGTTCACATTGGTATTTGTATGTGTGCAAACTCAATTATGAGCATGTTTACATTTCTCATGATATCGTTTTCTATATTCGGAGTATTGATATCATATCATGAACATCATGGTATTTTCTTTAACTACATTAATTATTTCTGGTGGATTGTAGCACCTGCAGGAAGAATAGTTTCTGATAAAGCGGGAAGATGTATGCCCAGGGTTCTAATCTTGGGAATTCCTGCAGACGAATTCCACAAAATTCTTCATCATTTGTCCCAATCCTTCAGAAGAGAGGTTTTGATTTAAGCCACCAATATGAAAGAAACCAAGTAGAGTTCTCCATGGACTGGCGTAAGAATTCTAGAATCAGCTACTGCCGTAAGTTGATTAGAAATAAGATGTAAGTGATATAAAATTTTATATATTAACCTGAACTAGTGTAACTGTTTTTTTGGGGTACAAAGACTTGTGTAACTTTTGACACCATATAGATGCTGAAATTAATAGTGACGACATTTACTTGAACATAAGATTGTCATTGAATTGAGACTAACTAAATTTTACTTCAGATATGCAATTCTTAGTTCCGGAGCCAATACAACAGGCATCTGAAATTGCAAATATTCTGGAAGAGTGGTTGTTTATTGATGCTACTTTAGAGGTTTGTTTCTTGAATTGTGTCTGAGCAAGTGAGGTTTCTATTTGTTATCAAGGAAATAAGAGGATTAAATGCAAGTTGTGCCCAAATCTTGATAACTAAGCATCTTTGTTATTTGTTGATGATTTTTATTTCTATATTTTTCGTAGGAGGAGTATATGAACGAGGAGACGTTGATACAGCGATTTCATACTCAACTGAATACGGTGTTTAGGACAAAATGCAGTCAACTACAACTAGATAGTTCGATTCCTTCCACATCTCATACAGTACCCTCATCTCAGACAAAATGCAGTCAACTACAACTAAGTATGAACTGGCTGGGCCATAGAAGCTTTACCACGAAGCTCATATTGCTGCCTAAGATGTTTGAAATTCTGTTGAAAATTCAACTTCTGGGGTTGACATTGCCTTATATCTCCAAGGCTTGAACTAGAGGTCAGGACGGGAAAAAGATTGGAAACATCTGAAATTTCCCTTGACAGATGTTGAGATTGCAGCAAATTTGAAGATTCAAATTGGAGGGATTTTCCCGTTATAGTATGAAAAGCCATAAACTCATTTTTCCGGGTAGTTCTCGAATAACCTCTATATCCAATTTTGTCTTGCATGCCCTCAAAAAATAGCTTTTGCATTGAACATAAATGGCATGTGTTAGCATCCATTCCCGTTTCTTCCTCAGACGTATTCTGTTACAAGAAGCATCAATTTATATATGCTAAATATACTCAAACAGATCAAGGTAATAGAAAACACTAGAAGATGGTGTACTAACCTGAATAAATTGCTTTCTCAGACTCATAATGTGTTCTTTTATTTGATTACTAGTGAAAATCTCAGTTAAGGAAACAATATTAATTGTTGCATTTGAGAACTTTTTCCATTTGTTGATCAGCTTTTGGCTCAATGACTTTGTTTGTAGCATTTATCCCAGCCTCCTGGTTGAACCCAGTTCTATCTTGTATGCCCTTATTATCAGCAGCAATAGTGTCGTTGCAAAGAGTATGCATAGTGGGGTATGGCTCATCTGATACATTAACAATTTCTAAGTCTTCAGAGCTAATTATTTCACTGCTGAAAATCGGTTCAGATGTATCATCAGTCTTCATCTGACTAATAGAATCAAGCACTGGATTTGAATCATCAGGCTCAATGACTTTCTTTGTAGCATTTATCACAGTCTCCTGGTTGAACCCAATTTTGTCTTGTATGCCCTCCAACTTTGGTCTCTTGGGTGGTGGTAGCTTGGCTTCAGAGTTACCACAAGGGGCACGCTTATTTCTTGCAACAAAATCCACAATCATATTATTTGGAGATTCAGATTGGATGGATTTTCCCGTTGTAGTATGAAAAGCCATAGACTCATTTTTTTGGGTAGTCCTCGAATAACCTCTATATTTTAATATATCCATCTCCCCTGCTAAAGTAGTCAATCAAATGGGTAAACAATACATTATTGAAAGTAAAAATAACCTAGCAGAAAAGGAAAAATAAAAGCAAAAGTGTGCGCACACGCATTGAACTTAGAAAGAAATACTTAGAAAGAAATCAAAAGCTTATACAAACATACAATCATTTGCAAGCTGCTGAGGAAAGAAGGAACAATTTGATTTGGAGCTAGCTTCCACATTGCATACCCCACCAGAAACAGGAAAGTCAGAAAACAAAACCATATCACTACATGTAGGGATTGATGAACAGTTATCAGGCGAAAAAACTTGCTCTTGAACAGCAGAAGGGTGAGATAGTTCACCGTTTGGATATCCATATTTCTTGATTACAGTCATTGAACAATAATCTGTGGCATTTATGATAGGACGAGCCACTTGAAAAGCAAGTTGCGGTAGACTTCCATTAGACCAAGCATGTAATAACCTATATGAGGGTACTGTCTGAGATGTGGAAGGAATAGAACTATCTACTTGTAGTTGACTGCATTTTGTCCCAAACACCGTATTCAATTGAGTATGAAATCGTTGTATCAACGTCTGCTCGTTCCTATACTCCTCCTGCCAAAAATATAGACAGAAAAATCATCAACAAATAATAAAGATGCTTAGTTATCAAGATTTGGGCACAACTTGCATGTAATCCTCTTATTTCCTTGATAACAAATAGAAACCTCACTTGCTCACACACAATTCAAGAAACAAACCTCTGAAGCAGCATCAATAAACAGCCACTCTTCCAGAATATTTGCAATATCATATGCCTGTTGTATTGGCTCATAATAAAGTCCGGAACTAAGGTATCCAATCTAATGATAGAAAAAGAAAAACGTAAATAGAACAAATAGAAGAATTAAGTGTTCATTTTTGTTGGTTTAATTGACATAGTAAATGAACCCAAGGTGAAATGTGGTCTAACAAAAACAAGGAGCAAGTAATTAGCAATAGGATTTATAAGCAACATACCAATAACTCATGGTAAACGAAGGTTCGAAGAAATTCTCCACTCATAGCCGCCCTTTCAAGCCTAAAATACTTAACAGAATCAAGATATGAAATATATATACAACCCTGATTAGGGTTGCCGCATTCCGATCCAAGCTCCTGGACATACATTCCAAAAAGGCATACATCCACTCCTTCAATCTACTGAAACAAAAGAATAACCTGAAACAAAAGGAGCCACTATCACTTCTTCTGAATAATGGACACAATGGTGGAGATATTAACCTCTGTACTTACTCTTGATCTATAAGGGAACTCAATAGGATAGTTTTCCTCCAAAAAGATGTCCCGAAACTCGTTCTTCACTTTCAATTGTTTGTCAACAGATAATACTACTCTAACAGTTAGATTTTCTGCTGCTAAAACCTGGCAAATTGGAGTAGTATATGGCAAATCAGAAAATATATAATTATATATATTTTTTTATAAAAGGATATAGGTAAAAGCAATTGATAAAGATCAATAACAATAATATCAGAAGAATAATATCTTGCATGTTTCTTAGTACTGGAGTTATTTTACGGAAGATTATTACTTTACTATTACTTTCAATTTTCTTTCTTGCATAAAAATAAGAAAATGTTAAAACATGTCAGTTTATGTGCATGCATGTTATTGCGGTAATATAGGTATTCAACCACTTCAATTGAACAGTATATATACTCCATCTTACCTCATCAAAATTTTCATTCCCTTCAACTTTTGCCCTGTCTTCTCTCTCTTGCATGAGACGACTAAAAAGTCTTTTCTCAAGGTGCTCGCTGAGCATGGTGCTTGGCAAGTCCTTGGCACAAAAAATAGCAGTCTTTGGTAAGGGTACATGCATTCCATTTTCAATGTCCTTTAAGCGGCGTATAGGACATATGTAGTCAGCTCCGCAATCCAACTCTCTTTTATTGTTAAAGAGTGCACATATTTGATGTTGCCATCTTTGGCATTTATCACATTGTACCCACTATAAGAAAAAAGAGTAAAAAACAGTGAGTTTATAGTTCTCTATATAAAGCTGAGTTACAGTGCAGGGAGATTAAACTTACCGCTTCTTCAATAACTTCATCATTTTTCCTTCTATCAAGAAATGTCTTGGAAACAGATACCCCATTGAATGTGATGTGCCCGCTTCGAGAATTCTTATAGCACAAGTTGCAAAAGCAATTCTGTGTATCAAACTCTTCTGCTTTTTTATAATAATAGTATGCATTTCGCTTGATGCGGATGTCGCAACAGAAACAATAAATTGGCACTGGTTCAAAAAATAGCTTTTGCATTGAACATAAATGGCATGCGTTAGCATCCATTCCCGTTTCTTCCTCAGACGTATTCTGTTACAAGAAGCATCAATTTATATATGCTAAATATACTCAAAAGAGTAGAACTCAAACAGATTAAGGTAATAGAAAACACTAGAAGATGGTGTACTAACCTGAATAAATTGCTTTCTCATACTCATAATGTGTTCTTTTATTTGATTACTAGTGAAAATCTCAGTTAAGGAAACAATATTAACTGTTGCATTTGAGAACTTTTTTTCCATTTGTTGATCAGCTTTTGGCTCAATGACTTTGTTTGTAGCATTTATCCCAGCCTCCTGGTTGAACCCAATTCTATCTTGTATGCCTTTATTATCAGCAGCAATAGTGTCGTTGCAAAGAGTATGCATAGTGGGGTCTGACTCATCTGATATATGAACAACTTCTAAGTCTTCAGAGCTAATTATTTCACTGCTGAAAATCGGTTCAGATGTGTTATCAGTCTCCATCTGACTAATAGAATCAAGCACTGGATTTGAATCATGAGGCTCAATAACTTCCTTTGTAGCATTTATCACAGCCTCCTGGTTGAACCCAATTTTGTCTTGTATGCCCTCATTATCAGCAGCAATAGTATAGTTGCAAAGAGTATGCATATTGGGGTCTGGCTCATCTGATATATTAACATCAGAATAGATACAAGAAAGGGGAGATTCTGACTGTTCCTGCAATTTTGGAAAAGCTTCAAGAGAATAAGGTTTGACCATCTCGTGAGTCCAGTTATCAGAACTTCTGTTATCAACTAAAGAGACACTAAAAGCTGACTCCAACTTTGGTCTCTTGGGTGGTGGTAGCTTGGCTTCAGAATTACCACAAGGGGCATGCTTATTTCTTGCAACAAAATCCATAATCATGTTATTTGGAAATTCCAAATGATGTTAAGGATTGCATGAATTTACATTTTCAGATCCATCCAAAATAAAAAGACCTACCGAGCATTCTGAAGTGAACAGTTTATCCCTATTGAGAGGTCTTGTAGGAAGTTGAGCCTGATGATTCAAATCCAGTGCTTGATTCTATTAGTCAGATGGAGACTGATAACACATCTAAACCGATTTTCAACAGTGAAATAATTAGCTCTGAAGACTTAGAAGTTGTTCATATATCAGATGAGTCAGACCCCACTATGCATACTCTTTGCAACGACACTATTGCTGCTGATAATAAAGGCATACAAGATAGAACTGGGTTCAACCAGAAGGCTGGGATAAATGCTACAAACAAAGTCATTGAGCCAAAAGCTGATCAACAAATGGAAAAAAAGTTCTCAAATGCAACAGTTAATATTGTGTCCTTAACTGAGATTTTCACTAGTAATCAAATAAAAGAACACATTATGAGTCTGGGAAAGCAATTTATTCAGGTTAGTACACCATCTTCTAGTGTTTTCTATTACCTTGATCTGTTTGAGTTCTACTCTTTTGAGTATATTTAGCATATATAAATTGATGCTTCTTGTAACAGAATACGTCTGAGGAAGAAACAGGAATGGATGCTAACGCATGCCATTTATGTTCAATGCAAAAGCTATTTTTTGAACCAGTGCCAATTTATTGTTTCTGTTGCGACATCCGCATCAAGCAAAATGCATACTATTATTATAAAAAAGCAGAAGAGTTTGATACACAGAATTGCTTTTGCAACTTGTGCTATAAGAATTCTCGAAGCGGGCACATCACATTCAATGGGGTATCTGTTTCCAAGACATTTCTTGATAGAAGGAAAAATGATGAAGTTATTGAAGAAGCGGTAAGTTTAATCTCCCTGCACTGTAACTCAGCTTTATATAGAGAACTATAAACTCACTGTTTTTTACTCTTTTTTCTTATAGTGGGTACAATGTGATAAATGCCAAAGATGGCAACATCAAATATGTGCACTCTTTAACAATAAAAGAGAGTTGGATTGCGGAGCTGACTACATATGTCCTATACGCCGCTTAAAGGACATTGAAAATGGAATGCATGTACCCTTACCAAAGACTGCTATTTTTTGTGCCAAGGACTTGCCAAGCACCGTGCTCAGCGAGCACCTTGAGAAAAGACTTTTTAGTCGTCTCATGCAAGAGAGAGAAGACAGGGCAAAAGTTGAAGGGAATGAAAATTTTGATGAGGTAAGATGGAGTATATATACTGTTCAATTGAAGTGGTTGAATACCTATGTTACCCCAATAACATGCATGCACATAAACTTACATGTTTTAAAATTTTCTTATTCTTATGCAAGAAAGAAAATTGAAAGTAATAGTAAACTAATAATCTTCCGTAAAAGAACTCCAGTACTAAGAAACATGCAAGATATTATTCTTCTGATATTATTGTTATTGATATTTATCAATTGCTTTTACCTATATCCTTTTATAAAAAAATATATATAAAATTATATATTTTCTGATTTGCCATGTACTACTCCAATTTGCCAGGTTTTAGCAGCAGAAAATCTAACTGTTAGAGTAGTATTATCTGTTGACAAACAATTGAAAGTGAAGAACGAGTTTCGGGACATCTTTTTGGAGGAAAACTATTCTATTGAGTTCCCTTATAGATCAAGAGTAAGTACAGAGGTTAATATCTCCACCATTGTGTCTATTATTCAGAAGAAGTGATAGTGGCTCCTTTTGTTTCAGGTTATTCTTTTGTTTCAGCATATTGAAGTAGTGGATGTATGCCTTTTTGGAATGTATGTCCAGGAGCTTGGATCGGAATGCGGCAACCCTAATCAGGGTTGTGTATATATTTCATATCTTGATTCTGTTAAGTATTTTAGGCTTGAAAGGGCGGCTATGAGTGGAGAAGCTCTTCGAACCTTCGTTTACCATGAGTTATTGGTATGTTGCTGCTGATAATAAGAGCATACAAGATAGAACTGGGTTCAACCAGGAGACTGGGATAAATGCTACAAACAAAGTCATTGAGCCAAAAGCTGATCAACAAATGGAAAAAGTTCTCAAATGCAACAATTAATATTGTTTCCTTAACTGAGATTTTCACTAGTAATCAAATAAAAGAACACATTATGAGTCTGAGAAAGCAATTTATTCAGGTTAGTACACCATCTTCTAGTGTTTTCTATTACCTTGATCTGTTTGAGTATATTTAGCATATATAAATTGATGCTTCTTGTAACAGAATACGTCTGAGGAAGAAACGGGAATGGATGCTAACACATGCCATTTATGTTCAATGCAAAAGCTATTTTTTGAGGGCATGCAAGACAAAATTGGATATAGAGGTTATTCGAGGACTACCCGGAAAAATGAGTCTATGGCTTTTCATACTATAACGGGAAAATCCCTCCAATCTGAATCTTCAAATTTGCTGCAATCTCAACATCTGTCAAGGGAAATTTCAGATGTTTCCAATCTTTTTCCCGTCCTGACCTCTAGTTCAAGCCTTGGAGATATAAGGCAATGTCAACCCCAGAAGTTGAATTTTCAACAGAATTTCAAACATCTTAGGCAGCAATATGAGCTTCGTGATAAAGCTTCTATGGCCCAGCCTAGTTCATACTTCGTTGTAGTTGACTGCATTTTGTCTGAGATGAGGGTACTGTATGAGATGTGGAAGGAATCGAACTATCTAGTTGTAGTTGACTGCATTTTGTCCCAAACACCGTATTCAGTTGAGTATGAAATCGCTGTATCAATGTCTCCTCGTTCATATACTCCTCCTGCGAAAAATATAGAAATAAAAATCATCAACAAATAACAAAGATGCTTAGTTATCAAGATTTGGGCACAACTTGCATTTAATCCTCTTATTTCCTTGATAACAAATAGAAACCTTACTTGCTCAGACACAATTCAAGAAACAAACCTCTAAAGTAGCATCAATAAACAACCACTCTTCCAGAATATTTGCAATTTCAGATGCCTGTTGTATTGGCTCCGGAACTAAGAATTGCATATCTGAAGTAAAATTTAGTTAGTCTCAATTCAATGACAATCTTATGTTCAAGTAAATGTCGTCACTATTAATTTCAGCATCTATATGGTGTCAAAAGTTACACAAGTCTTTGTACCCAAAAAAACAGTTACACTAGTTCAGGTTAATATATAAAATTTTATATCACTTACATCTTATTTCTAATCAACTTACGGCAGTAGCTGATTCTAGAATTCTTACGCCAGTCCATGGAGAACTCTACTTGGTTTCTTTCATATTGGTGGCTTAAATCAAAATCTCTCTTCTGAAGGATTGGGACAAATGATGAAGAATTTTGTGGAATTCGTCTGCAGGAATTCCCAAGATTAGAACCCTGGGCATACATCTTCCCGCTTTATCAGAAACTATTCATCCTGCAGGCGCTACAATCCACTAGAAATAATTAATGTAGTTAAAGAAAATACCATGATGTTCATAATATGATATCAATACTCCGAATATAGAAAACGATATCATGAGAAATGTAAACATGCTCATAATTGAGTTTGCACACATACAAATACCAATGTGAACAACAACTAGAAATAGTTTAAGAATCATAATATAACGAAGAAGCCATCCATCTTAAAATGGCATCACAACCAAATAAAACAAAATTGGGTCATCAAAATTCAAAATTTCAAAAAGAAAAGGTCGTGACAAAGATCTAAGACTAATCTAAATTGCATCATTCAAGTACGTAATCTTGGACAGCTTCCCTACTTGGAAGATATTGAAAAAATATCATTAGCATTTACAGAAGAAAATTGTTCTCCTTAGTTCCAAACTCTTCTTCCATATGGTAAGTAGCTTTACCATATAAGTAGAAAGAAAGGAAGGGCCCTATCAACAGAGCTTGTATTCACGTATCATAATCAATTAAGTATCAAAGTAACACCAGCATTTTTTTTTTATCATGGTATCTCCATAAGAGATAACACTAACCCCAAAGACCAAGTAAAATATCACTTTTCTCTTATTCATTAGGGGTGGGCTATAACTTAAGCTAAAAGATCTGGGTTCGTTCCCATTTGGAAATATATAGACAAGTGTACCCAAAAAAAAAAAAGGAGAAAAAGAAAGAAAGAATCTTAAAACCAATAAAATGAATTCAATAAATAATAATAATGGACCTTGTTTAGTAATTTTTTAGCTTAAAAATTATTATATATTTAAAGTGAACCTTCAATTTTTAATAAATAAAAATTGTCAGTTATACAAAAAATACACACTATTATAATACATATTTTACTTAGCACTCATTGTATAAAGAGCCATGAATTAGGAAAACATAAATTAATTATTCCAACTAGGAATAAGATATCCCAGGGCCAAGACCAAGACCCACAAATCTCATTATTAATGTAAACTCCAAATCCCCAATAACATAGTAATTCTCAACTTAAAAATACTTATATATTATTACAATAATCATAAAAGGAAATAAACAAATAAAGAGAACATCCAACCTTTTTAACTCTACCTAACTTGTCCATTCTTTATCCTAGTTTCCTAATATGATCAACATCCTTTCAACTCGCTAACCCGACCTTTGTTCTTTTTTTGTTCTTTTTATTTTTAATATGGAAATAAAAGGAAAAGCTACATGGGTTTAATCTTAAACTTGGTGAAATGCTTTTATCGTGTAAACCAAAAATAACATACACCTGTTGTATACAAAAAAATAATAATAACATACACCTGAACACGCTCTCCGTTTTCAAAATACATCAACATCATCACTTGGAGATCACACTACCAAAATAGTCTTGCAAACAGCCTTTAATACCAATAAAAAATTAAAATAGTCACACATCCAAATTAAGAGAACTAGGGACAGCATACGATACCTATGATCAATTAATTAATTCTCCTTTCTTTCTACTTGGCGAGACTCTTCTTGTGATGGTGGGTGAGTTAGCAGTCTTTTACGTACCTTCACTTGATTAGGTGCTTCATCAATAATCATAAAGATCAGCCAAAAAAAAAGAATGCATGTGTTAAAAAAATTAATTAACTTATATGGCTTGCAATGACCAATGTTAAGAAAAGAATGCATGTTGTCGGTCAAATACTCAAACTTGCAAGTCCCTTAAGTTCTATCTACGTACACCTTTCAGGTGAAGCTAGTACTTTGTTTCTCCTCCTTCAATTCTTATTTCATTTGTTTATAACTAGCATTCCGATATATCTATATGAATTTCTTATGAAAGATTAAAAATATATCTCAAGCTCACTAAAAAGTATAATATTAATAAATAAAGAAGCAAAACAAATCCAATCAGATACATACAGTCTGTAGTTTTATTGTCTTCCCATCCTGCTCAACGGTGCGCATTTTCTGCACAAAATATCTAATTAATTAATAAATAAAATGGGAATAAAATAGATAAGTTAGTTCAATTAAAAGTTAGTTCAATAAAATAGATAAGTTAGTTCAATTAAAAGCACAAAATATTATTGTCTTCCCACCAATTTTCTCATGCAACTCCAACTTCCAAAGTTTTCTCTCAATCTAAGCATCCTGCCTTAATGCCTAAATCAGTGTTACCATGAAATTGTTCAATAAACATCTCACACTAGTCTATATTTTTGCATCAGAAATAAATTAGACTGAACTTGCTCAGAATACCAAAAGACAGAAAGCAAATGCCAGCAACCAGTTTACTTTCTTTTGGATAAAAGAATAAAAATATATAAAACTGTGAAAATATATGGTAAACCAGTATAAGGAAATAATAAAAAATGACAAGTAAGTACTTTCCCCAATAGCATTCTTCATTCATTTGAAACAGAGGAAGGATGGAAGATAAAAGAGGGGGGAACACCCAAAGGAACACATTCATCTATTCTTATCTTTACATTCTAAAACGTTATGTATGACCAAAAATGAATTAACAGCTACTAGTCTTAGTTTCAGCTCCAAGGACAGTGATTCTTTCCAATTATAATTTGCATTGCAAAAACAGGCCAACTACCAGAAGCCGAAAACAAACATGAGTGGATCTAGTTGAGGTGGGACTGCTCTTAGATTAGATGGTCAATTGGGCACTGAACCCAAATTAAAAGCCCAACATTAAATCACTGAGAAAAGTCACATCCTTTGATGATTTGAATAAATACTGTTCGACCCAGTTTAAATAAGATTAATTTTTTGGTAATTAAATAAGTAATTATGATTTATTTAAATTTTAATATATATTCTTTATTATTTCCAACATTTTGAATAGAATTTTTTTTTCTTATTATAAGGATTGGCCTGTTTGAAATGTGTTTTTAAAAACAGTTTTTTAATTTTTTTTAAATAAAGAATCATGTTTGATAATGCTTATTCTGTAAAAATAATTTTAAATTATAACAATTTTTTAATTTTTAGAATCTATTTTAAAGAATATATATTTTTTGTTTTGATTTTTAACTTTAAGACAAAAACATAAAAAATATTTATTATGTTTTCATATGATTATCTAAATTTGTATACACCAACAAACCCATTACTAATTATTTTGGAAAAAGCTCTTTTAATGAGCTAAAATTATAACATCTTCAAATTAAATTAAAGACAATACACTCTTATTTGTATATTTATATGTACAAACTTAATTTATAGGAGTCTTATTCAATTATTTTATATTATCAATAAAAAGAGTGCTCCACGTGATTCTTTTGTCCTCTTTTGGTATGGGCCACAAGTTGAATAAAAAAGAAGTGGCTAGTTATCTTTAGGAGCTCGGTTACTATTTTGAACAGAGCTAAAAATTGAGCGTTTCAAAGCAGCACAAACAGCTTAGTGATACTATGTTGAATTTTCGAAAAAGTTACGTTCAGATCAGACACGCTAGCTAATCAAAGAAGTTTTGTAGAAGATGTACTTTTGTGTGTGAAGGTGAGATTTTACCTAAGACTCCCATTTCAGCAGCACATGTTTTGTCTCAATTGATGGTCATAAGCTAATAACTAATAGGAATCCTTATCTGCCAACTGTTGTTTAATAAAATAGAGCCATTAAGCTACAAAATAAGCTAACATGTTAGCATCGAGCAATTGTTTAATTTCTAATTTCCTTACCTGTACATGCATCATGACTCAGTTTACAAAAATCATTATCTTCATTAGTTTGGATATCCTTCCAAATTGCATAACCGGACCTTGTTTTCATATGATTACATTGATTATTCGTGAGTCTTTTAATTTCAATTAAAAGATTGATCAACTGATAGATTAAGTTGACGTCTTTCACAACGAAAAATACCATCCAAGTAATTTAGCAAATCATGAACAATACAAACTATTCAACTACAGAATACAGTCTCAGTTGTATACCTTGGAGGGCCGAACTAACCAAGCAAAGAACAAAGTGGTGAAAGCAGCAAAAATTTCCCTTGTGAATTTAGAAGGTGGTAGGAGTGTCCTTATCTGCCATTTGTCATACATAACAACATATTCATTGATGAAAATTACAACGAAAATCAAAATTGTTAATCACACTCCAATCAAACAGAACAGGGCATCTCTAGTTCAGTGATCATATAAGGCATCTCCTGTTGTTCTACATGAGCATATTATAAATCACATCACATGCAGCAATAAAGACGCAACAAGAGAGCTCTACAGCTTGCTGTTGAGCAGAGCAAGACACCAGCATAAGAGACTTGAAAAGCTAATATAAATCATTATTATAATTGGTACAATCTAATAACTATGCTTGAAAGCTCAAGGTATGGGTCATTTGGACTTTTAAAATGGGTAGTAGATTACCACATTGATTTGCCTTAACTACTTCA